AGATTTACTTCTCCTTTCTCTAGCCTACACCTGAGACCAGCTGAATCAGAAACACGCTCTCATTGACTTCAGGAGGGTTTCTGTCCAGCTGCTCGCCTAGATTTTTAAATAAAATTTTATTGGAAGGAATGGAAAGTGAGAGAGAAAGACAGACAAGACATATAAGAAAACAAAAGATAAGGTGCAGATGGCTATCCCTACTGAATTTTAAATTCATTAAACATACTGGGTTAACGCAATACAAACCACTTACAGAACCACAAACCGTAAATATTAAAATAGTAATGAAAATTATAGATCCAGTTGAAACATGATTCTATAGAAAAGAAAACCCATGTTTTGGATGGGATGCAAAACCATAAAAAACAGCAAAATCCAAGAATGGTTTCCCCTTGGAATTACATTTTGCGTCCGATTTATTTTTTAGGTAGGAAGTCGTTTTTGACTTCGAAGCATATTCCCATAATTTCACTACCCACTTTTCCAAAGAAGAGATCAAAGGTCTTTTCCAATAAAAAGCATACAGTATAGATTCCTTGGAGCCTTTAGTAGAAGTTATATGGATAGATCTGAATGGGAGATTCGCCCAGCTAATGGTCTACAGCTGAGCTCCCTACAGGATCAACAAATCTGAATCATGTCTCTGCCCAAAAATTAGTAAAATAGCCACATAGCCTCAAATCCAATTAGTAGTAATAATAGTTTCAAGGTGAGTGCAAACAAGCAACTTTTTACAACCTCTAAATTCCTTGGGTTTAAATCCGAATCATTATAGTATTTACAGAATTTGAAGTCTTAACTTTCATTAGGGAGGCCTTCTAATGATTACAATGAAATGATCCTTTGTCTTTCCTATAGTCCTTTCAAATCTGTATCCTAATGCTCAATACTCCCATTAAAATCAAATTAATGGGTTTTCATTATTTGAAGACGCAGTGACTACCAGTCATGTTTTTCTGAAAACCATGAAAGAAATGCATGAATATCGGCTGGAATAATACATGTATATATAATTGGCACTATAAAGATCTATAATTTTCATGTTGTTTTTCATGCTGGTTAGAGAAAAAAGAAAAGGAAGGAAATTAAAAAGAATGGCTTACGGAAGCACAGCTAAAAGGTAGGGAGGTACAGATGCTTCAGAAATTGTCCAGAATTTCCAAGCCAAACAATTGATCTGCAAAGAGGATTTTTCAAATGTAATTGCATAGAAACAACACACATAAAAAGCTATAATTCTGAGTAACTATTTTTTTCTAGATATGCCAACATAATATCAGTAATTTCAATCCATTGTCAAGTCAATTTCACACTTAGTCAACACGATCTCAAACTGACATTGTCACTTTTCTGTACATTTGTGATTAAAAAAAAAGTTTGCACATTCCATATAGAGTCCCTAAATACATACCTTGTTTCAAGCAATGTATGCCCACAGAATTATGCATTTTTGGCATGTTACTTTCATTAATATGTGTTAAACATACAAAAAAAAGGCATGTATGAAATCTAACATCCACACTTTTGTAGATCTGCTTGGATTCAGAGAAGGGCAGAATTCAGAAAGCAATTGCTATTTTTGATTACATTATTTCCAAAATGTGAAATCAAGTCCATTCTCCTTACAATGCAAATCACAAGAATGTCTCTGTATTTAATTTGCCCTAAGTAAATGTTTGAAATCATAATCCGGATGCTTAACAGACCTTCTGTTAGAAACAATATGAACGTATTAGGGTATTTCACAGTTGACCTGAAAGGGGGATAGCAAGTGAAGATGCTTTTCGAATACGTTGAAGATGTTCAAAAAAGAGTTTGCGCTCAAATTCTCAATGTGCCGGCAGGTCAGTCCTTTCAACAGCTGTCCGATGCTGAATTGAAGGAGAAGAAAAGGTACAGAGTAAGCATTTGCAAGGTCCAATTTAATTATCTCTAAGAATGTTCCCTCTCATTCAATTAGATTCAATCTCTGGAAAACAATGTTTTCTAAGTGAGGATCAAATTCCCCTCTTTCAATTCATGTCTTCCCAGACGGTTCTATTATAACTCTCCTAATTTCCAACCAGCATGGCCAATGGTCAAGGATGATGGGTGCTGTAGTGCCACATCTCTAGAGGACATCAAGACTGGAATGGCAGAAATGATAGATAGATAGATAGATAGATAGATAGATAGATAGATAGATAGATAGATAGATAGATAGATAGATAATGGTAGAAATAGATTGATAGAGATTGATAGAGATGATAGAGAGAGAGATAGAGGTAGAGGTAGAAAGAAAGATAGGAAGATAGATAATAGTTTCTGGAAGAGAGAAGGGATCACCATGCCTGTTTCTGTGCTCTGTTTTGTGAACAGCCTAGTTGACCCTCTGCCATGGCCCTGTCTATGCACTGGATGACAGATCTTATCCAAATTCTCAACCCAATTCATTTCTGCATAGACATCTTGCTCACTGTATATCGGTCACAACACCAAGCGCCTAGAAATTGGTATGATTTAACAGCAAAGAATATCATTCTGTGTTATATTGGAGAAGTAATGTCCCCAAATATAACACGAAGGGAGCCTAGATTCTTCCATTCAATTTAATTATTAAAGAACCGTTAGTTAGATAGCAGGGGTGAGCGATCCGATTGTAATGGGGAAATGGCAGTGGTTCCCCTTCTCTGTGCTGTAATCTGCTCCATCAGATGTGATCATGGCCACAACACTTGTCCCCAGGCGGAACCATTGCTCCCGGACTCAGTGTTGGCAACAGGGTGCCCACCTTGGCTCCAAGAAGGGTTCTATCTCCTTCCCAGAATTGCTGAAATCTCTGAAGGTCTCCAAATGCTGTGAGAGGGTGGTGGCTCATGCAAGAGCTTGCATGGGAGATCCAAGACTTTAAGGAGTCAACTGGCCCAGAATACCAGCTTTGCAGGGTCGCACAGGGTTAAAAAGTTCACCAATCCTTGTCTTGGACACACAGGTAAGATGTGAATTCTTAAGCCCATCAAAGTCTCACAAAACTGGGGGAATTTCCGGCATCTTGAACTAACTGAGGACCCGTGTTCAGGTCACCACTCAACTATGGGTGATGTTGGACCATGGCCTCTTTCCAGCCCAAGCTACATTGCTGGGTTTTGTTGGGAGGATAAAATGGACACACACAGACGAACACACAATTGTGCTGTTTTGAGCTCCCAGTGAAACACAGGGTATAAACTATAGCAAACGTCAAGTAAAGGATATTTAGTATTTTAATATTCTCACTATAACACAAGAATTAAAACACAGAGGATGCTGTCTTACCTTAAGAGATCAGGCAGAGGAGTTTTCCTTGACAATAATTCATACAGAAACAAAGCCTGAAATTAAACAGATAAGGGATCTATACCCTACAGCAGTGTTTCCCACCTTGGCAACTTTAGGAGATGTGGATTTCAACTCCCAGAATTCCCCAGCCAGCATAAGTGTCTATATAACACACACATACTCATACACATAGGATTTCATGTTATATACCTACGAATAAAACATACACAAAACTGAGCAAGGACAGACTTGGTTAGTACTTGGATGAGAGACCACTAGGAAATTCCAGGCTGAGACTAGATTGGGAAATCAAAAAAACATCCCAGATTTTGCCAGGAAAATGGCCACAGATGTATCCGTAGAATCACTGGGAGCTGAGCTGATTTTCTCAGTTGACCAAGTGTGGCCATTCTGCCTATTTTCCTAATACAAAGGCAGGGTCAGGGGTCAAAAAAGTCAAGATGGCAGATGCAATCAAAGCCCTACCCTCTTTTACATGTGTCACGCACACAGATTAAAAAGAGGCAGGGCTTCCATCACATGGTTGCTTCTGCGATCTTGACTTTTTTGACCCCTCTGAGGACACCCCTGACAATGGGGTTTGGGAGAGTATCCAGATTAGGGCCATGGTGTGCTGCAAGGGAAGGAGAACTGCACCCTTCTGCTCTCCTCTTGACCCAAAACCTCTCCTTCTCTTCCACTTTCTGGTGGCCAAACCCAAGATACCCGCAAAGGGCCATCATGCAGCCATCCAGCAGCTGGTTTCCCCTTGTCGCTCTGCCAGATTACCTGGCTTGGCTTCAGCTCTTTTTTCTTCACCAGCGTCACGTTGAAGCTGCCTGCCTTCCACAAATCAAACAGGGACACCTCAGTAAAAAAGGCACTGGGCAGATTGATGAGGACAGACGAGAGGTGTGTGGAATCCAGGATCTGTAGAAAAAAGGGGAGTCTGAGTTTAACTTGCTTCCTTCGGCTGGCTCAGACATCCTGCTCTAGATATTGAGAAGTTTCTGTAATGGGATGGGGGAATGACCTTGAGAGACAGAAGGAAGAGCCGCAGACTAGGCAACAGTCAGATAAGTGTCAGCTGAGCCCACAGGAGGAATGGGGACGTGGTAAACGTCTCAGAAGGGACCCTCCCTTTTCCTGAATCGTAAAGGCAAAGGGGGAGAGATGTTCTTTCAGACTTGCAAGTTTCTGTTAATGTAACCTTACAGTAAAGATAGAGCTAGTACTTCTGGGTGTGCTTCTTGTCTGGACTACCTCGCAAGGCTGACATCAATCTCACAAGTCTGAAAGTATATCTCTCCCTGCCCTTTCAGTTTAGATCAGTGTTTTTCAAACTTGGCAAACTTATGGCGTGTGGAATTTTTACTTCCGGACTTCCCACACCCGGTGCTGGGGAGG